GATCCCTGCCAAAGAGTGACTAGAATCTAATTTCTCTATATATCATCAAGCTGAATCAAACTTTCACTCCCAAAATCTTCTTAGAAATTCTCCTTACTGTCTGCTTTACAATTCTTATGATACAAGTCTGGGGAATTTGGTATCGCATCAACTAATAATTCCCTAATTGATATTTTTCTTTATTCTCATCACTTGCCTGCTTGACATTGTTTTGCTATTGTTAGGAGAAAATCTGTCTTTCTTGGTCACTTGAGGGAGTTAAGGGGATAAGGTTACAAGAATACAGGAAATGACCACCCCGCCACTCAAGAAGCTCTTGATTACTAAACAAATTCTCCTTGTTAGTACCATTGGAAATGTATAGAGAACAGTATGGAGAACGTGCTAATTGATGTACATGTAAGTGTGTAGAGTCAAAACAAATTTTAAAGTCTAAGTCAATATGTGCTCACCCTCAAAGTCCGCTGATTACTTCCTCGATCATACACGTATATCGCGGCATCATTGGCTCTAAACACAATGCATACAGAAAATGAATGTGATACTTGACAATGGTGCAACCCATACAGGTACTGTCTGTCAAAGGTGATGCTCAAGAAAAAGTTCTGGTGTCACAGGTCACTACCTTTTGTCTTTGGGAGATTTCTTAGCCTTTGTGAGCTTTTAAGAGTGAGACACCCAAGATTTCTGGGCAGGAGTACAGTTTTAGTTTTTGTTATCAGTTACAGGTACCATATCTCTCTGGTATTGCTTGAATATAAATCATTGTTATCAAAATTAAAGTTTTGTTAATGTTTAAGATGTCATGATTCATGTTTGATTTGTTGCTACTCTCTCTCTAATCCAAAATGGCAACATATCATTTATTAATTAATAAAAGTAATAATCTTTAACAAGTGTAACCATACTTACCCTGCTAAAATTTCTTTGTTGTCATGAGAAAACTTTATAGAAAATGCACAAAATCTTGAGTCATCTGGGCTAGAGGGAAGGAAGAGATCATAAATAAACAAACTGATCCTCACCTAGGAAAATGGGATTACAGATTACATGAAGAGGAGTAAATTCCAAATGCTAAGAAAGAATACAAAAATTAAAGGTTTTTACATAAATGCAAAAAAAGACACACTGCTAAATAAGGAGTGAAACATAATCAATAAAGGGCAGCTTAATTTAATTTACCTAAAGTATGAAAATAATGGAGCAGAAATGATATGTAGAAAAATGAAAAGAATAATTGATGAGACCTATATGTAAGAAATAAAAAAAAAAAAACAAAAATTATTCCGCACAACATAGACATAATGTGCAAGTTTTGAAAAATTGTAATTAAAAGTTTAGAACGACAAAAGTGAGGGGAAAGTAACTTACTTTAAGCACAAAGCTGCATGGGTTTCATAGTCACCATAAATGTTGCAGAGATGAACTAAAACAATAAGAACAATCAAAAAGTTATAAAAACATGGTAACTGTCTTCATCACCTTGTTCCATCAATAAAGGTTTCCTTTAAGTAGGGATATTAGCATCACACTTAATTCTTCAACCTACTATAGTCAGACCAGCTGGAATATATAAGGTACTGTTGATCAGGGCTGTAAGAAAAAAAAAATAATAATAATAATAAGCATTAAACTGAAGTATAGAATATTAATTCCTTGAAAATGGATGAATTCAACCAAGAGCTGGAAAAATTAAACTCGTAGAATTGCATTGTTACCTTGAACTTTCTATGGTTTCTATGCAAATGTATATTTATTTAAGAAACAACACTTCAGTTTTTACCTCAAGTCAGTGTCTATTATACTCCAGCCTACATCTCTTGCAACTATGTTTCGAAACTCCTTGAACTGTCCAAGGGTTGTGTCATACAAACGGATGTTTTGATCTGTTGGAAGTGAAAAAGGTGTCACCAGTTAACAAGGTTACTCTGAACAAATCTCAAATCTATTAAGGAAAATCCCTTAGAATGGGATTTAAATCCTTTGCACGGTAGTAACATCAGTAACCATTATATTCTTTATAACTCTTTGCTATACATTTCCTTCGGTGCTGACAAGGAGAATTTGTTTAACAATCAAAGCTTCTAAGGTTGGCGATCATTTCTGTTATTCTCATGATCTTAATGAATGATTCAGCAGTATTACTGTAAGGAAAGATTAGATGCTGGTCAATCTTAGGGTTTTTTAGGTGAAAGGAGGAAGACAAAACAGTTCATCAGTGATTGTTATCTATCATTTATTACCACAAACCTTGACAGGCTGAAAGAAATACTGTTCCATCACTGGAATACTGGCCACAGAACAATTTTTGGAGAAACTGGGCTTTTGTTTCTTTGTTATTGGGAATATAACTGCACAAAGAAAACAAAACTATCATAAAATCATGATACATGTGTACTACAGTCTTCTCCAAGTTTTCACTGACATGTGCTATTGACTTGACTTAAAATATCAATTGCCACAAAAGTTTCCTGGTTACATTATCGCATTATTTCCAGTCACTACTGTATGAGAACTGAAAGGTTTGCTGCAACTATGATGAAAGACTGTACATTGAGAGTAGAGGCTTCTGACTTCTAATAAATAGAGGGGTAAGTTTCTAAAGAATTTGTGGTGCTGCATTGGTGGGGGGGCGGGGGGTATTATACTGAGATAAATTTGGTTTTATCAAATGAGTTGAATAATTAATATGTAAAATAATATTGACCACCATAGAGAGTTTCCAAAGCAGATGTCTCAAACATTTAGCCCTTCCTCAGTTTAAGGAACTCTGTCCATGCAGCAGAAATGTTGTCATTTAATTCTGGTAACAAATCATTTAAGGGATACAGTCACAGAGTAACTTCAATATGTAAAAGTATACATAAAGTACAGTTGAAGTTTTTTACCTTTCATTGTTGAATGTATTGCCAATATTTGGTAGCCTGTCAGTGGCCTTTTGGTTCTCTGTCAGCCTACAGTCTGCCAACAGGGTTTCTCAGGGAACTGTTCTTAACAACTATCTTACTGGTCTCCCCTTGACTGTTCATGACAAGTTATTGGGTTTTATTGTATAATTATAATGTTTACTTGTCATAACCCTTTCATAATAATAATAATAATAATAATAATAATAATAATAGTTTTCACTGCTAATCGCTGTCGCAAAGTACAGCAATGACACAGCTCAACAAGGTCAAACCGAAAGCTTACAATGGCGCCTCTGGCAGCCGCTATACGGTCCATGTGTGATCTTGGAGCAGAGCTTACAGCCAGCTGGAATCAGCTGTATGTTGGTTTTTGGTGAGGGAGGAAAACTGGAGAAACCAGAGAAAAACCCTTGAAGCAGAGAAGAGAACCAACACAAACTCAACCCACTTATGGCGTCAGGTCATGGAATCGAAGCGGGGCCAAATTGGTGGGAGGGGAGTGCTCTCACCACTAAGCCATCCCTGCTTCCCTCCCATGATCATTGGGTCCGGGAATCAAACCTGGTGGGAGGCGAGTGCTCTCACCACTACCCCATCCCTGATTCACTCCCATGATCTCCTTTAAGTTATATTCCCTTAACTGTCTGCCATACAATTCTTGTGCTGTTACTTTGGAGAATTTTGAGTTAGATCGACCAATAAACCCTTAGTTGATATTTTTCTGTATTCTCATCACTTGTCTGCTTGATATTGTATTGATATTGTGAGGAGAAATTCTGTCTTGGTCTCTCATGAGGGTTAAAGGATTAAATCCAGTTTTCACTTACTTGGCTGAAGCTGCTGCCTTGTCACCAGAGGTAAAGTTTGGTCGATTGTAAAGGGAACTTTCTCTCTGCAAATTGTCCACAAAGGACATTTAAGGATTCCTTAGATTTGGTTGGTACTTTAAAACTTAAAATGAATGGTGGGAGATGCTATAGTCCAGGTAAGAGTCCTCAATAGCTCATTTTTGTTGTGTTCTTGAGCAAGACTTCACTCTCAGAGAGCCTTTCTCTATCAAGGGGTATCAACGGATTGTTAAGGAGACCTGATAGAATGTTGCAGGAAGGCGATGGGGGGAGGTTGTAGGTCCTGCAGTGAACCAGCATCCTGTCCAAGGGCAGTGTTGTCTAATGCCCTAGGAGCCTGAGATGGGGTTCTAAGCTATAATAGCCACTCAACCTGTCAAACTTCCAGATTATCCAAAACTCGTTAAAAAAACTGGAAATATTATTAGCACTTACCATGTGAAGCCTTGAACAAATATTTTGACCACCCAATAGTTGACCACTAGACAATAATGTGTCCTGTTTAAACACACTTTGCTGTATGTGATAGATTGAAAAATGAAATGAAAAAAGCTTAGAGAAAACTGTTCTTGTATAATTAAGAGAACTAAAACTTGCCTATGTCTAATTATAAAAACAGAGCATCAATAAGAAAACTTACAAATCTAGATGCACTTATTTGTCCAAAACTGTGTTTACTTAATAACTATAAGTTGTGATCCAACTTTTTCTTAGGTTTAAAACTTTTAAGAGGAGCACCAATTTTAATTTTCCTACATCTCTGATCTCTGAAGACAGTACTGGTAAAAATATGTGAAAATTACAATTATATGATTATGATAATTATTAAAATGAAAAAATTCACACCAAAGAAAAATTTGAACCACAACAAACATATCTTATAACTTACATCAACAACTAGAGTATTAGGATTTGGATCAACTAAAAAGAAAAACAGAGAAAAGAAACTGGATTAGACTCGGTCAAATTTTGATCACATTAATGTCGCTGACAAAAAGCTAAATATTACATGATTTTTATGGTTTGTTATAATTGCTCTAATGCCTTACTTTTGCTCCCAGAAATACTCTCTTGTAGCAGCCATTTATTTATTATTCTAATTCTATTAGTAAAGAGATTTTGTTCTGAATCAATAAACATAACATTTATCTTACTGATCAATTCACATTTTCTCATGACCTGTTTGCTGGAAAGTCTACCAATAATGCATGGAGAAGATACAATCATAGTAACCATTTTTAGGAGCTCAAGGGTATACAATACCTGGAGGACTAGCAGCTTTACCATCATGATAAGCAAAATCTCCATCAAAATCTTCATCATCATCACTGTCACTTGACGACATACCATGAATGATGTGGATCCCACTGCCTCCCTCTGTGGTAGCACGCACAAGCCGAGCCTGGCCACTAGGGACAAAATTCAAGAAAGACATTTGAGTAGCAGAGTCAACTTACTGATAAACTGAAAATTTCATAGAATAAAATTGATACTAATTTGAAGTTGACGCTGATTGGTTTACAAACTGTCTGACTCAGAGACACAGACAAAGAGACAGACAGACAAACAGACTGACAGATCTAGACTGACAAACTGACATTGAGTGACTGACTGACTGACTGACTGGCTCTCTGATTGATTTATTGATTAGCCTGTTCCAAATTTCTCCCTTGATACAATTACTATAAATTATTTCCTCCAATAAGTGCCCATGCTACCACCTTCTTGGCCATAATGGCAAACAACCATCCTCTAAAAATAGTAGGGATAAAAGGAAAACCTGTTTCTATTACCAGTTCATTTAAAACTTTTTGAGCTACAACTGCTGTGGAATTTGTTGATTCACTTACAGTTATTTCTATCTCCATATGCTTGCAGAATTCCTTTATGCACATTACCTGTTGTTTTAATTTTTTGTCCTATTGCTGACTTAATAATCCTTACATAATTCTCCTTATTGTTTACTATACAATTCTTATAAAGTTAGTTTGGAGAAGTGGGTATTGGATCAACTAGTTACCCCTAATTGTTATCTTTCTTCATTCTCATCACATGTCTGCTTGATATTGTATTGTTATTGTAAGGAGAAATTCTATCTTGGTCAGTAATAAGATTGAAAGGGTTAAGTGTCCCCAATTTTGATTGAGTACCCAAGCGCTTATTTGACGAAAATAAGGTACTGAAAAGAGATAATTTGTATATATCAACAAAGTTGAAATGGTAAATTGGCCACTGTTATGATAATAAAAGCTGACGTTTTGAGCGTTAGCCCTTCGTCAGAGCGAAGGGCTAACGCTCGAAATGTCAGCTTTTATAATTGTAACAGTGGCCAATTTACCATTTCAACTTTGTTGATATATTCAAATTATTTCGTTACCCCCACCGATGCAGCCCCAAACAGTTTCTTTAGAAACTATCAGCCTTTATACTGAAAAGAGAGCTCACTTAATACAACATTTGCACTCCACTTTTGGGTCACAGCTTTCCAAGACTCTTATTCTGTTTTTGAAGTCTTGATACTCCATATACCAGTACCTTAGATTACAGACATGTATTTAATTAATAGATTCCAGGATGGCATGCAGTGATAGATCATAGATGACCTCAAAATGTGGTAAGAACAAAAACATGGCACAGGACACTCAGTTGTTGATGTTTTTACTGCACTTTGACATCATCCGAGATCTACAGCTGTACAGATCCTCTGCAACATGAAAACTATTTGTGTCGTGGGATAAAAATGTAAAATGTTGTCATCTATGTGTCTGTCCTACAATAGACCATAAATAAGAACCAATCAAAGAGTGTATAGGTGGTTTGCAAGTTATGTCATTGCCGCCATGTTGGTGGACGTAAACAATAGATATCTCATTGGCTCCTTTTGTTTGTCTACCAGCATTTGTTCCTTTCACCATTGTTACCTGTGTCTCTGTAGATTGGTTGCAAACCACCTATAGGATTCGGCTTACCATGTGAATGGAGGTTAGCCACAGATCTAAAAAACTTCTAACAAAAATTTTCCTAACCCATTATATCACCTCGACTACCATTTATTCTTTAAAGCTCCGATTAAAACGTTTAGGGTGGGGGGGGGGGGGGGAAAGAGGGTTTAATACAGTAATCTTTTCATCTGATAAGTGGAGTACAAATCAGTAAAAAATGTTACTTTTTTCCTTTTGCAGTCATCCCATAAACCTTCACAAAACATAAGAGAATGGGATCATTGAAAAGGAAACCTTACTATGCATACTAAACAACATTAAGCAGTTAAAATAAAGTGGAAATATGGCAGGCTTCTTACCTACGAAGCAGAAATGCGAGCACGCTCACAAGGTCAGATTCGTTGTCGTCGCTGTCCGCATCTTCAATAACACTGGGATCTGACCTCGGTTCATCTGGATTCTGTTCGACCTCTCTCCTGGAGCCTCGTGTATTTCTGCTGCCCATAATCAGTCCTAAAGTGAGCAAGGACTCCTAACGCGCGTTTTATAGCCGATTTTCCGGTAGTTTCTTACATAATTTTCCCTAAAGCGATTCGGCAAAATAATGTTTTGGTGTGTTGAGTTTAGTGAAACTGTCTCGCTTTCATGTTTGTTTGTGTACATTTCATCTCCAGACCCTACGCGACCACAGTTAACTTAGGAGAACGAGAAAAATCATCATGGCGAATCGTGGTTTATCTAGGAGAACAACGAATAAGTGGGCCATAGACTTGACTAGTCGGTACGGTATCGAAATTTTTACCAACAGCTGTTTTATTTATCTGTTTTTTAACGTGTGATTTTCCTTTAAGTGACAGCTTAAGCTTTTGTCGGGGATGAATGAAAGGTTTTGAATTTTTGCTCATAACGTTTGTGTTCCTCCAGACCTCGTTATGTGCCCGATAGACAGTTTGTTCAGCATAGTGAGCTTCCAGCACCGCTTGGGTACTCAGAGCAAAGAGTTCAGCATGTGGTTTGTACAATCTTTTCTTTTCTTATTTTGTTTGATTCCTTGGTAAATTTTCTGACTTTTTGTGACTTATTATTTGGGAACTTAAATAGCCTTGCATTTTGTCGTGCATATACAAATATACATATAGTGTAAAGGTTGCATTGAAATGAATTTAACGGCTCACTAACCATAATAAGTGAAACATTCAACCGATTACTTTACTTTGCGTTGCAGAGTTCCACAAAGTATTAGTGCAGCTAACTCTGACATAACTAATAATTAAGCATTGTGACAGAGTCCTTTAATTTTAATTCTTATTTTTGTAATATTTTAGGAATCCCGAGAGGCAAACAGCACTCACCTTGTGGCAAAGGTACTCTACATAATATTTAAAGTTTAAAGCTGCTCTATTATGCTATTTACATAGGTTTATTCCAAACTGTTTAATAATGTTCTCTAAGTGTGACCTGGTTATGTATTTGAAGACATTTGGTCCTCTTTAGGTTCCCTCTTGGAGTCTCAAAGCACAAGAAGAAATAAATCGTTTTATGTGTTCTTTGGACTATATAGATAAAAATCATAGAATAGTTCCTTTAGCATACGTCTCCGTTTAGGTCCCTCCAGAATTAATAACATGTGATTTTGAATTTTTCACTTTCAGAAATCTTGGGATATAGCCCTTGGGCCATTCAAGCAGATTCCAATGAATCTGTTCATTATGTACATGGCGGGTAATTCAATTTCTATCTTCCCAATCATGATGGTGGGTATGATGTTCCTGAGGCCGGTCAAAGCTCTTCTGGCCATCAAATCGAGTAAGTACTCGAACAATTAAAAACAAAATATGCATTCCTGTCATTTGTTTGCTCATGTAGTCTGACTGTCTAGGTGAGGGTAGTCCTAAAAAGGCTGATAGTTTCTAAAGAAACTGTTTGGGGCTGCTTTGGTGGGGGTAAGGAAATAATTTGGATATATCAACAAAGTTGAAATGGTAAATTGGCCACTGTAATGATTACAAAAGCTGACGTTTCGAGTAGTAGCCCTTCGTCGGAGCAAATAGAGGAATTGTGAGTTGTGTGTGCTTTTAAAGGCAGAAAATGGAGCTACGTTATTGGTGGGAACAAGGCAATGAGAAAAACACGAATAAATTAGTGGAATGAAAAGCATTCGTTGCTCCCTGTGGGATTTAGACTGCATGGGACAAGGACACATCAAAACCAGTCGCTAGACACTTTAATTTACCTAATCATTCTAAGCAACATATGGCAATCTGCGGTCTTTCCTTACACTTAGGTAGCACGGAAAGCCGTAAAACTCTTAACAAAAGCTCATCTTTCAAACCGGCAGTCTAAATCCCACAGGGATCAATGAACGCTTTTCATTCCACTAACTTATTTGTGTTTTTCTCGTTGCCATGTTCCCACCGATAACGTAGCTCCATTTTCTGCCTTTAAAAGCACACACAACCCACAATTCCTCTATTCGCTCCAATGATGGCCAATTTACCATTTTAACTTTGATGATATATCCAAATTATTTAGTCCTAAAAAGGATTATTGTTGGTAGTGATGACTTATGTTTAGCTTAAGCTCTTTAACCTATTGACGTCCAGTGCGCCCGCAAGCGCCCATGTGGAACCACACCCTTTCTACGCCTTGTGACGTCATCACTTTTAACTCTGGAACACGACTTTAAGAACGTACTTAAACAGGTTGAAAATATCTTAGAAACGATACCAGAATGAGCGCAATTGAGTGAAGGAGATTGGAGAAATAGCCAAAAAACCATGTAACTTTGACCTGAAAATCTGCACGAAAATCTTTTTCCATTACCCACCTACCTTTCTGAGCATGTGGTTTGAAAATAATGAGTAGTTTCCTAAAAAAATCTCTACACCAAAATGAAGCCTACTAAATTTCCAGCAAGTGAGGAGAAACTTCAGGCAAGGAAAGGGGAAAAAGGGCAGAAGAAAGAAAGAAAAGTAAAAGTTGTAAGTGGGGCATTACTTTTCAACCCAAAAACTATCACGAAATTTTGCTGTCTGCGCCTGCCCAAGATTTTCAGGCCGCCATTTTGCATTTGGATCGAAATGCAAAATTTCGATCCAAATGCAAAATTTCCCGCCATTGAGTGTACAAGCTGTGAATGGGTTTGTGGTAAGTTTCAGCTTTTAAAACCACAACAGTGACCCAAAATCTGCTCAACTAGCTTCAAAACACAGTTTTTCACAAAATCTGCAGCTATTAATGGGTTAAATGTATTTTATCTCTTTATATTTTTTTTCAGCTTTTGTATCTCTTGAAGGAGAACATGATCATGTTGCTCTTCAAAAATTTTTCTATCTTCTTGGAAACCTTTCTCTGGTTGCACTGGCACTTTACAAATGTCATTCCATGGGACTCTTACCAACTGCTACTTCAGACTGGTTGGCATTCATGGAACACAAGACTGTGAGTCTGTTTCTTTTTAATTGCCTTACTGTTGGATACAGAAAACAATGTACCAGAAGGGTCACTTTTTGTATTGCGAGTGTATGAAAAAGTGTAGCAATTTCATATTTTGCGACATTGATATATCATGTATTCAGTTGATGCCTCCCATGCAGTAAGAGGGAACTTTTTTGTTATTAACTGCCATGTATAGTTAGTTTTTCAAGTTGCTTGAATTTCAAAGTTTTAATTTTGTTTGTAATTTTACTTCAAATTCCTTCTTTACTACAGTGAGTTGTTTGTCTCTATGCTATTATTCATATACAAATATTCTATTATTCATGTTTTTCAGAGAGTTGAGTACAGTGGAGGAGGATTCATTCTTTAGCACAAAGAAGCTTATTTCCAGTCACAAAAGTAGTACCCCAGGCAGGCTTCTTCTATTTACATTTCCAAGAACAAAAACAGATGATGTACAATGTGTAAATTAATCTGTGTAATGATCTGTAAATGATATGAATACTGGTAGCTTTCAGATGAGACCTATCCTGTAGAAATTGATTTTTCTCTTCCTAAACTAACTGGGGAATCTGTTAGCCTTTTGCTCGCTAGCCCTTTACAGCCCAAACTTGTTTTTTGTTTTGGAAGTTTTCCCTTGGAAACACAAGTAAAACGCTTTGTGCAACAGTATTCCTGTTGCTTGTCTACTGGAAGGGGAAGGGTAGAGCTATATGAAGTGTCCCATTGTTTTTTCTGTGGTGCTAAATTGATAGTACAAAGAAGAGCAATAATGATCTTGTTTTTCGTGCAATAAAAATGAAAATTGATATAGTATATACTTTGTTAGACCTTGGAATCCAAGCTGGTAGAAGCTTTTCTGCTATGCCTTGTTTTGTGTATAGCCTCAGTGACAATCTTAGTGTGAATGTTAACAAAAATATAATAGGATTATCTAAAAGGGGTTCGAGTTACGTGTGGTGCACTTTCTTCCCTTGTAAAGTGATATGTAAGTATCACTGAAAGCATTGATACTAATGCTAAATCTCATTTGGATTGTATTTGAATAAAATTTAAGTTATCAGTCAACAAAGATTTATGGTACTTTCTTAAGTATTAAGTAAGAACGGACATGCAGGTATTTGATGCTATGCTTTCCCAAAAATATCTAGCTGACTAGCTCACCATAGTGAGATTTGTTTATAATTGATTACTTTTCTCCCAAGGAAATGAGAGTAAAATTTGTCAAGTAATCCTCAGGCATCTTTGAGACTTGTTTACTCTCCCAGTAGCTCTCTCTAGCCAACAGTTTAAATGTGGAAAGGCAAACTGCTAGGGAATCCTGTAAATATACTGAGGGGGATGGGGGTGTGTAACCTGTAATGGACTAGCTTTCTGTCCAAGGGGGGATAGCCCTACTTGTTGCTTCATGCTACAGATAAGTTTCAGCGAAGTTGGCCACCAAGCTCAAGAGCTGACTTCACATTTCATTTATTCAATTCCATTCTAGTGTCAGATCCAGAGGGAGGGTCAGTGAGGTTTGGATTTTCTCCTTCCCCCTTCCATTAGACTTGTGGATCTCTTTACTATTCATCTGAAAACAAATGTTGTTGCAATGACAAGATCACATGATTATTACTCTCCAATGAAGTGTGGTGTGTAACTGGGAGTGTCAGTAGAGGGGGTAGGCATGGGTTGACTGAAAAGTAATTGGTTTCACAAAAAGTTGAAGCTGCATTTTCTCAATCAAAGTTGGACCTCCAACTCATCAAAAATTCCCTTACACACAGACAGATTGCAGTACTAGACTGTTATTCTACCAAAAACTGACTTAGATGGCATTTCTATTTTACTGGGAAGATTATTTACACTCTTAGTGTGAATTCTCAAGGTTTTAAAGCAAATATTGTACTTTCACCCTGGAAATGAAATGTGGAAGGTGTCTAGCATGTAATTTTAAATCAAATAAAGAAATAATTCAACTGGAAGAACCTGGCCAAATTTATGAGACACTGTTATTTCATCAATGCAAAAGGACAAAGTTTCCAGCTTGTGTATAAAATTTAACAGGAATTTTTTCTCATGAAATGTTAAATAGCTTACAATTGTTGTGTGACATGTTTTGACAAGAGAAACCAACTGCACTCTACTTGATCAATAACTGCTAGAGCTGGTACAAAAGATCATAATAGTTCACACATCATTTTTTTGGACATTTTTCTAGTACACTGCACATTATTCCATACCTTTCCTTAAGGTTTCTTTTCCCAACAAATATATCGAAAAAGTTGGAAAGAAATTCTTATCACCTCACCTTGGATATTTCCCCATCAAGAAACTCTGACTAAATAGACATACTAGAGGGCGTATAAAGCTTTATATCTGTATTTCAAAGTTGAAAATGAGGAACTTTCCCAAGTAAGATTACAAAGAAATTAACACATGCACAAAAAAGGTACCTAGAGCTAGCAGATTATAATTAAACCTTTCAACTTTCCTGAGTGATCAAAGAAAGAATTTCTCTCTATGATTTCAATGCAATATCAAGCAACTTGTGATCAGAATAAAGAAATATCAACTGGGGGATTATTAGTTGATCCCATACCAAATTCTCCAAACTACCATCATAAGAACTGTATAGCAGACGGTAAGGAGAATGACTAAAAATGGAACCTGGGGAGTGAAACTTGAGGGGTTAAACATCCTTTTCTTTCAAAGTGCAGGCTACAAAGCAGTACACAGAACATTCACCTAAACAAGACTTTCAGTAGCGAGTCCATATATTGTAGAAGGGAAAGTTTGGAAGGTTTCTTCTTTACCTACTGACTATTACTCACTATTTGAAGCCTGTTGTATGAAGTAGTAACAAGACCTACTAATATTTAAATAAGATAGAAGTGTTGTACTTGAAGAATTAATGAGCATCTTTTAGGTTTTCAAACTAAATACTAGAGACAAGAATTGTTCATAGTTAATGGTAATCCATCCACTTCGGTTTGTGTCAAAGCCCTGAAATGCACTTGTCAACATCTGAAAAGGAATTTAAAAGAAAATTATGTGCAACAAGATAGAGACTCACTACAACCAGGGAGTACTCTTACTCTCACGGTTCCTCATATAATCTACCTCCCATGAGTGACCAAGATAGAATTTCTCCTTACAATATCAATACAAAATCAAGCAGACAAGCGATGAGAACAAAGGGATAATATCAATTACATCCTAAAAACTGAATAACAGCCAGTAAGGAGAATTACAAAAAATAAATCAGATCTTGGAAGTAATAGGGTTTAACTTTGTTAACACAAATTTTGGGGACCAGTGGTCCATTCGCGTGGTGGGGTTCAGTACCCTAGCATCAACACATATATTTCAGTGTTTATGTGAAAAGCTTCATTATGTTACGTTGTTTGGTGTTGCAGGTCTTTAAGCTGCGTCTTGCGTTCTTTCAAGATCCAAACCATCGGGTGTGTTTTAACTTTTCATTTCCCCACGTTTATTTCATTTATTATCGTTTATGTCATTTATTTTTGGTAGTTAGATTTAGTATAATTTAATTTTCACCCTCTCCAATAAAGTCTACTTACTTACTTACTTACTAGATCCAAATCATAGGGTGTGTTTTAACTTTTCATTCACCGCGTTTATCTCATTTATTATCATTTATGTCATTTATTTTTGGTAGTTAGATTTAGTATAATTTAATTTTCACCCTCTCCAATAAAGTCTACTTACTTACTTACTTACTTTGTTATAGAAACCACTGGTCAAGAAACAAATGTATATGGTTCAGATAGCCATTGAGTAATGTAACCAGTGCGTATGTTACAAACTAAATAAATTCCATTAATTTCCTAATTTGGAAAAATGTACATTGACTCTTTTTAGTGGCTCCATTGCTGTTTAAAACCTGCCCTGGACATACTGAAATGTGTATAATGCCTATAATTGCTGACAAAATTGTAGAAACACTGAACTTTTCAACCCCCCATTACTTCAATTTTATCTTTTTTCCCTTGTTAAGTTAACTTATTTGCCCCTCCCCTTTCCCCACAAACAATGTTGCATAGTGATTCCATGAATTTTTAGCCAATTAACACTGAATGGGGAAGGGGGGTTTGTTAATGATTTAGATTTAGGGTCTGTTAAAGATTTAGAGTGTGGTAGAAACAAGACTGTTATTTTTCTCATATATAAATCTCTTCAAAAATGATGTGTCAACTAATTTTGATGCTGATTGTAGCTTTAGACAATTTTTTTTCTGGATACTATCCCAAGCAGGATTACCAAATTTCCACACTCCAGTAGCTGACTGGAACATGTCATTTGCTTATCCTTTTCTACTCATTGAGTCTGCCATGCAGTTTGGAAAGTTTGTACAAGTTACTGACCTGTATTACAACACAGCACTGAATGAAATCATCAAAATTGACAACTCCTTGACCACTGCGATCAAACTTTTTGATCAAAATACCATAAAATCTGTCTGTTAACCTGTAACCTACAAAGAAATAAATCATGTAAATTGATTACTGGTTTTAAAAGTTTATTTGTGTTTTAATGCCACTTATAAAGATCAAATAAAAGTAACATAGAGTTCCTTGAATGGGTAATACACTTACCAAAACTAGTCAAGGCTATAAAAGAGAGAAAAAAACAAGGGTTAGTCAGAAATATCAGGGCATCTGGCTATATCATGTATACCAACTCTCCTTAAATATACATAAGCCTTCAAGATTAAAAAATGTCATTATCTCCCTGATTATAGTTTGCCAAGTGAACCCTTCTAAATAGAAGTAAATTTTGGATAATATTGCTATACAAGAGGGCAAATAAATGAAAACAGATCTTGTTTCAAATTGAAATATATATAAATATATATATATATATATGTTTCAGGCATTCTTTTCACGAACAGTTCTATCATTGTATATTTTTTGTGATTTTATGTGTCTCAACCAGATGCCTCATTTCATAAGGAGAGAGTTGATCAAAGTGGAAAAAGAAGGATCAACTAGTATATAATTTCCCCTAACTGTACAGTAGCATTGCTGAACGATTTATAAGATCTGAGAATAGAGGAAACAATTGCCAAGCTAAGAAGCTTTGATCGTTAAACCAACTCTCTTGTTTGTTCCAAAGGAAATGTATAGAGAACAGTATGGAGTATACGGATATTGATGAAAGGGTGTTTGGGGTTAAACTAAGAGGATTGGGAATCCGGATGGGACTTTGGAATCTCTGGATTTCAGATTTCCAGAAGTTTTTATTTCTGTGACACGCATATAAAAACTCTATGTCAGAATTTTAATTCACCATTCCATTTGAATGGTTCAATACCTGTTTGCAGCTCTCTCTTATCTATTGATCCAGAGTTATCCTTATCATAACTTCTGAATGTGTTCTGCCAGTCAGTTATGTATTTCCACAGAGATGCAAACTCGTGAAAATTGATAGTTCCATTGTTGTCGCGATCAAACATTCCTGTAGATACAAATGATATCATTGACAGCCAGTCAAGTCATCTCATAATAGTAAAACAGACATAATATTAATAAATTTTGTCAATAACTGAAGTTAAACATTATAATCTATCCATTATAAGCTCAATGGATAGAGCGCTGGACTGTTGTGCGGGAGGTCGAGGGTTCGAGCCCCGGCCGGACCAACACTCAGGGTCTTAAAATAATTGAGAAGAATTTGCTGCCTTTCTATAACATCAAGAAATGGTTAGATATTCTAGTCTTCTCGGATAGGGACGAATAAATGGAGGTCCCGTCTCCTGCAGGGTTGGGGTAGGAGACGTTAATTTCCCACACACGAGATTACTGTGTGATGGATGTCCTCCCCTGGGGTGGGATGGGTGGGAGGGTGGACTAGCACGAATGGTTCCTATGTTCCTTTCTAGTCCTTCCCCACTGCAAAACTTAATGCAGTGAAAATGGACTAAATTAAATATAATCAGCCGTTCAGTGCTCGTGTCTTTGAAAATGCAGAATTTTTTTTTTTTTCCTTTGGGCTGTGATCGTAACTAATCAGCTCACTTTTAAATTCACCTTTAAAGAAGACGGGATCTGAAAGTGGCAAAATATAATAACAGTACGTATCATGAACCAAATTAGGAACAGATTACAGAGGATGTACAAGATCAACGCTCGTTAGATTGGCTAAATGTTGACATGTCAATGAAAAATGATGGATAATGAGATCAGCAAAATTCATTTATAAAGTTGATAAGAGAATTGAAGAAAATCAACGAGGTCAAGAAATCGTTTGATACAAACCAATCATAAGTCGCACAGTTTCTGGGTTAAAAGGCGTCCAAGTCCCTGTTAAGAAAATAAAATGGTATATCAATGCTATCTATCCCCATTATAATGACCAATCTTAAAAGAGATCACGCCCAAGAATCAAAGTATAAGTACTGCACCATTTGACAGCGCCTGCTGTAGTTCGTTGGTAGAGATCCCACCACTTCGATCTTTATCCACTCTAGGAATAAACCAAAAGAATTTTTTAGGGTATCAACTTCAACCAAAATTCTTCAACTACCTACTATATTTATTCTACCTTTGGAAGATATTCCATAAGAAATTCTGATCGTGTTGTGGAGGAGGTTGATGTCCGTAGTACGCCATGACGGAGAGATGCGAACGGCCCTGAAATAGCGCGGTGGCAAAGTCATAAGAAAATTTCTGGGAGGGATGGGACTGTACATCTTCATACAGTCATTAGCGCCAGGTACCCGACAAAACATCCCACTTATCGAAACCATTTTCATATTTGACATTTTCTTTGAATTTCTCCAGTGTTAGAAGTGTCTTTAGTATTATTTTCTATAATAAAAGGTGAATATCGAAATCGTAACTAACTATTACCCCCTTAGTGAGAGATTTGCACTTTACGGTGCATTGCAAATTAAATGAAGGAAGCGGAATTATTCGTTGAAAACTGATGTGACTTTGTTATGGCAGGAGTGCCTGTGGATAGGAATTTCTTGTGGAATGTCTTCGCTAAGTAAGTACCAATGAAAGGGACGTTCCTAACTCAGAAATCAAGGCTAGATGAATTTGTCCAAGCTCGATTTTTTCACGCATCCTCCGGGGGCGAAAAAAAAAAACCGAAATATTCTCGCACAGCTATAAAGTTAGCGCTTATTAAGCAGTATAATTGTTTCAGCATTGTTATCGATTAGTTAACAGAGCAAATTAAGAAGAGATAAAGGGCTTATCTAACTTCTTCATCAATAATCGGCCCAATTTTATCCCATGTTTGACAACTGGAAAGCGATTTTAAATTCATTACAAACTAGTACTGCGTTGAACATAGCTTATTAGGGACCTTATGCAACCACGACGGCGAAGGCAACGAGGACGTGGAAAAACAAGAGATCTAATTGGCAGAAAAATAGCTCAGCACGTGCATTTTGAAACTTTGTACATTTCTTAGCCGTCCTATGTGTTGCGTCTTACTGCAGAAAAGTGACGCCAATCCTTGGTTAAAACGGCCGAGCGAACTTTAATAATCACTACCTAAACAACAGTTACATAATATATCACAACCTCAATATGCATGCAAGTTAGCTATATATGTGTACTCTCTGGGACCTCTCATGTCATGTATCTTACACCTAGTGATGGTTCATATTATTTAGATTCTAATTCATTAACACTATAACATTAATTAAACCCTAGTTCATTAACACTATAACATAACACTATGCAGAACAACAACGTGAAATCATCAAAATTTGCGTCGTCTGCGAACCGAAACTGCGACGGCAAATTATTTTAATTTCCATTTGGAACTCAACGCTACTTTTATACGTCATGCTGAAGTTGAGCTGTGGCGACCTATGAGACAGTAAGCTCATGTAGCCATTTTTGAAATTCTAACTAAGAGTAGAAATTCATTTTTTAATCGAAGTCTTCCTTGGCGTTTCCGTTTTATTTCAGCAGTTATGAATTTATTTTGAATTTTCCTGTTTTGTAGAATTGATAAAGATCACAGTGGTTCCATTACAGCTGATGAACTCCAACAAGCTCTTTCGAATGGTAGGTAATCAAGAACATCAGCGAGGGTTAAAATGGAGAACAGATCCCTTTCTCTAAGCAGCATTTAAGTGTTGACCAACAGATTACTGGCAGGCAAGCTAAATATCTCTCTGTTAGCCATTTGTCAGCTGACAGTTTGCTCCAGAACTAACATATCACTAACACGTCATCACTGACTGTTAGATATCTGTCAGCTGAAAATTTTCCGTGAATGATTCTATTTGGAGCCTGTTGGCTAACAGGTGGTTTACAAAGAGCTTATAGCCGGACAACAAACAACTACCAGTTTACTCACAGACAACTTAATTCATTTTTTGGGACCTCAGTTCTTCATCACTTGCATTTGTGGGAAACATTTTCTTAATATGCTATGTGTATGGTGTCTGTAGCCTTAATTTATGGATACTCTTTCATTGCCAAAGCTCTTGAAACATCTTTTTCTTGAAGTCACATAGAAGTAAATTTCAACTGAGTGTTTAAAGTGGTCCAGAATGAACCCTTTCACTTCCAAGAATGACCAAAAAGCAATTTCTCCTCACATACTCATACATTTACAAATAAAAAGGCAATGAGAGGAAAAAAAAATTAAATTTGGTGATACTGTTTGATTTAACACTGAATTCTCAAAGGGGAAATGATAAGCAATGTATGGAGTACAGTTTAGAGAACTGAAATTTTGATCTTAGAGTGAAAAGGTTTATTGGTTTTGAAGTACTTCACCCTGTGATTTGTCTAAAGGAAGTTTGCACCTCACTCCTAGCTAATGAGATGCAAAATTGAAAACAATCTAGACTTGCTCACTCTGGGTTTTCCTATCCCTGAGGTGGTTTACGTTTGTTTGCACTTTGTGTTTTAGTCAATCTCTTCCTAGGAACTTTGATCAAATTTGAAAAAGAATTTGAGCAGGATAATTTGATTTGATTTCATTTGTTTTTCAGGATCCTGGACACCATTCAATCCAGAGACAGTGCGACTTATGATTGGTATATGCTGATTTCCAATAATTCTACAATTATTTTTGTGTGAGGTGCAAGGTGCTATTGACAAATAAATATTCTGGAAAAAAAAGAACAGCAGGGTTGGCCAAGACTGTTTGGAAAGTGTATTCTAACCCTTTTGCTCCAAAAATCTCTTAATAGCAATTTTTCTTCCTCTTTGTCACACAACTTTTGTGACCTTTGTTTAAGAATTTAGAATTGGAACAACTAATATTTTATCACAATTGGCTGTAATGTTGCAGTCGATTGCCCAATTTGCTTTTGTTGACAAGAGTAGTTTCACACCATGTCACCCACTGAAAAAATCGTTTTATTTGATGTCAATATTGTCAGTGGTTAAAAAACAAATTGACATTAGTTTAGTGTAGTCTGTACTCTTATTGACAACAGTATTCATTATCACAGTACAATAACAGCATTTATTACAAGACTCGGGCAGTCAGAGGGCCAATAACTAAAATCAACCAATCAAAATGCTCTATTTCCAGTCAATATTCTCTCAGTATTGGACCAGGCACTGTCCCGAATGGTTCCGAATGATACCGCACTTGTGTCCCTTTGAACTTCAGTCGTATAATAAATCTCTTATTAACCAAGCTTGCTCGGGACCGTACTGGAAGAATGTCGGCCCTCGGTCTTTTTTGTACGGACCTCGCTGCGCTCGATCCGTACTGTCAAGACCTCGGACCAATATTCTCCCAGTATGGCCCTCGCGCTTGGTTAATAAGATATATTTATATTCCTGATCCCAGTGGTCAAAATTTGTTGTTGACCCACAACAGTTTTACCACTGTGAGGAAGCAAATATTCTTGTCAATAGGAGTACAGACCA